ACAGTCACAGTTTAAAATCACTGCTACTACAAAATCACAGTCACAAGTAGCAGTTTTCCTTTAAAGTCACAACATCGCCCATCACTAGTATTCAGTGGAAAACTCAATCTCGCATCCTTACATTGGATTGGCCGTCACAGTCGCCCGATGCAAATTGAAAATGTGTGGGCATATATTAAACAGAAGCTTCGTGGAAGACGCACATACACTTTGAAGCAGTTGTCTTACGAAATTCGTCGGATCTGGAGATCCTTGGCTCTAGAACATTGTAGAAACATACAAGTAACAAAAGAATCATATGGTGCTCAATAGCTGAGATCACCTGATCGAAATAGTTGATTTTTAGGCGCAGAGATTTAAATAAAAGGACTTAGACGCGTTAGCAATATTTTTCGGGTGTTAGGTTCCCCAAGAGGCCTATTTCACACATACAATACTAAATAAAATTATTTGTAATAATTTAAACAAAAATAGATAGATTCTTCAAATATTTTTAATAAAATAGAAAAGATTTACCAATATTTGGGTATAATTTAGAATAGCATCCCCGGATTTCGAGGATAAAATGGGTGTCATTGGAAAGGTGACGTTCTCCAGATCACGAAAATATATATATATCCCAGCCCAATATTTTGATACAATAAATAAAATTTTAATCAAAACTAGGTAAATTTAATCTTTCTGAATTTTAATAATCGAAATATATTTGATAATTTAATAAAAACGTACTTAAAATAATAAATTGGATAGCATAACACGACAACACACGCGTGCGTTTTCTAAGGCAATATTTAGGAAACCCTAACGAAATGCCTCGGCTTTTGCCCTGAGTCTTCTCTCATTCTATTGCATTCTTAATGTAATTTCTGTCATTCTACAAGCTTTCGCCTGTGTATGTATGGGTTGAAAATGATAGGACTTGTTACTTGTAGGTTTATACAATGCACACGAGTGACACGGTCTCATCGTCTCTCCTCGTCGTCCCCTCGATAGCGGTTTGGGCGGCAAGAAAAGGTCCTCATATGAACGTAGTAAGACCATGATAAGTGTTATATGAATGTGTACAAAACTAAGTGTTATATTTCCGAATATTTTGAAGTACCTAACTAATCCGTATTTTATCTTTTTCTCATATGCGTGCTATTTGCAATGTACACATTAACTGTATTAATAAATTTTTAACAACCTCACTAATCGTCAGACGTGTTGGACAAGTATCGATAACTATCGTACAATACGTAAAACCAAACAATTTAAATAACTTCGTCATATGATATGAATGTTTACAAAATACTCACAGTGAAGTGTTCTACGCCTGTTTTCTGGTGAAGATCTTCTAGTGACAAATATTCGGGTGGGCTTTTATGATGCTCCAAACGTTGGTCATTTTCTTTATTATCCATATACCACACCTTCACCATTTTGATACCGCGGCACTTCTAAATACTGTGATCAAAAGATCAGAAGAGCATTGCCTTTATCAATGACAAATGTTGTAGAAGACATATGCACATACTTACATACATACATACATATGCATTTAAATACGTATTTTAATACATACATATGTATTTAAATACGTTTGTACAGATATATACATATGTACATATGTGCCAATATTTTTTATTTGCTTGCATTGATGAGAGAATAATTAAGCGATAAGCAAAAATTATTATTTTCATAATCAAGAACATTTGTATGCGTCCATATGTAGCAAAATTGCTTTTTTAATCTTTTGGTTGACATACGTTCATTTATTGCAACACATACTGTTTGCATTCTCCCTCTTTTTTCAAAACATTGGTAAAGTTATATAGAAATAAGTACATGCAAAAGATTTTGTCTTCTCACTTTCTAATAAATGTTCTTAGACTGTGTTCACACAAGGAGTACTTTGCTTTAGAGGCATTATTTATAGGCGGTTTTCGGCAGCCCCTCTCTTTTTATGTTTTTTATTACAAAAAAATTATAAAACCTTAAATTTAAAAAAATTTGCTCACATTTCCATAAATTTGTACATTACGATTGGTAGCATAGATAACCAGAGAACTTAAAAAATAAAGAAGGTGCAGGTTCGATGTCGAACATTTTATAAGATTGTGATAGGGAATTCACCTCACAACCATAGAATTCACGATGTGAAATGTTAACATTTTTAACAGTTCTCCACATACTCAAACAGAGAATATGAAGAGAAATAAATATATGTATTTTCGGCCTATAATGACATGCCATATATGCCCAAGCAGAGAATATTGAAGAAAAATAA